GGGGGGAGGACCAGGGAGGATGATTCAACCACTCAACCACTAGATGTCGCTGAAAGCAACATATCCTACACACTGTGCCTTTAAGGGCTTGTTGTCAAATATTTTGAGGGCCTGTTTGTAACAAGACTCTACAGGTTTTATTACTGACACATTCAATAATTTGTTATCAAAGCCTAACTCCTGATTTATTCTGTGTTTTCTCTAAGAGGGTGAACCTATAGTTTACGGCACCAACTCACTACAAAGGCGCAGGAAGGGGCTGAGCCTAACTGGACTGCGCCCCACGGGTTCTGGCACCATCAACTCAAAGAACAAATCAAGCCTTTTGATTGGCCCACCGCAGAACTTCAGGCAGATCTCTTCCATTATTGATGTGGACATCTTACCTGAGACACACAGACGGGTGCGACTCCACAAGCATGGCACCAAAAAACCTCTGGGCTTCTACATTCGGGATGGGGTGAGCGTCCGGGTGACACCCCAAGGTGTGGAGAAGGTGAGCCTCTTCTTTCACTGCATCATGTCTACATGTCTGAACTACACAGGTATATGACATTATACTATGGTGTTTTAGACAACTTATGCCTACAACTGCATATATATGCTGAAGAAGAGGAAAAAAGCATCAATTAGCCCCTTCTTTTGGATGTGATCAAACCATGTTGCACCAACCATATGTTGAACAGATATAAAACCTATGAGTAAACTATCCCTATCTTAAACTTAACATGTAAAAGTTTATTAGATTGTGTTTAGACTGTACCACTGTGTTTCTGTACCACTAACTTTGATGGTCACAATGGAAAAGAGGTGTGGCCAAAAAGGTGTCCCTGGGGGGCAGTGAAACCCAAATTTTTTTCTGTTAACATGCAGTTTCTGAAAGAGTGGACCCTAGGGTACAATACCAGAGAAGTTCAGTAGTGGGGGGTGCACGGTGACCCACCCTAGCCCATGGACAAACTCTAAGTACTTTGATAAAATAAAACAGCACCAAGAATACAACAGATCCTTGGGGAACTCCACAGGTGAAGGGGGCTATCAAGGAAATAATCTCTGAGGCCTCTAGACAAGTTCCTGTCAAACAGGTGAGATGTGAACCAGTCCAGTTCAGAACCTCTGGCATCACACGGGTCCAGCCTGGAGATCAGAATACAGAGGTCAGCTGGGTCAAAGACAACTGTCAGGTTTAAAAACAAAAGAACAACTGAGTCTCCTGAGTTTGCGGTTAACTCATCATAACTCATAATCATTTCTAAGATTTTAGATAATAAATGAAGTATTGAAACAGATCGAAACCCAGACATCCCTCTCGCCAGTGACTCTTTCCAACTCGTCCTGGGGGACTCAGAGRCTTTTCCAGGCTACAGAGGGTACATGATCCCTCCAGCAAGTCCTAGGTCTTCCCCAGGGCCTCCTACCAGTGGGACGAAGGTTGAAGTTTTCATGTTAATTATTTTCTGATTGAAACACACAGGCAAACTGATTAAACTGTGATGGAGGATGATGGTTTACGTGAAGGCTGAGGGATCAGAGATCTGAGGTTTTATATCTTATTGGTTAAAAACTGCAGCAACGTCTTAAAGGTTCCAGAGGAGTTCTGGGCCCATATTTATCAAACTTCTTAGAGTGGATTTTTAGACTGAAGTGCTGAAAATTTCTTGGATTTGCTCCTACTCTCAGACTTAAGTGTAAGTGCCAGTTATCAAAATTCTTAAGTCTAAGAATCACTCTTACTCTCCCGAAAAGTTAAAACTGCTCCAGAGGACACTTAAGTGGTTCAGAGTTGCCACTAAGGGTTTAAGATGGACTGAAGACAGAAATCACACAGAGAACACGTCCTCCCCACCCAAGTGTTATTCCCAGTTATAAGGTGGAAAACAGGTTTAATCAGAAATACTAAAGAAAAAAAGTAAATAAATAAATAAAAACTGAGCATAATGTTGGACTAAAAGATGGATATAGGAGAAAATATTAAATATACTCAGCTGGTGAGTGCATGCATGCCCCCCCCCCCCCCAAAAAAAAAAAGAAAGAAAGAAAGAAAGAAAGAAAGAAAGAAAGAAAGAAAGAAAGAAAGAAAGAAAGAAAGAAAGAAAGATAGATTACGGTGGGTTTGAATTGAAGGAAATTTTGTAAATGATAAATTGAATGTTAAATGCAGTTTTGTATTTTATACTTTCTGATTATTTCAGCCTATAAAGTTAAAGCAGACAAAGAGTTGGTGTGTGTCTTATCGTGTTCTTTCTTTGGTCTAAACAAAATGAGTTACGTTCTGACGTCTGACGTAAAAGGTAACACCTCCAGGGATGTAACCAGAAAGAGATGAACATTATAAGGTCAATTCATTATTATAGTAGAAAGAAGTTGTCAGTGTGTTGCAGAGTCTGCTCAGAGCAGAGCTCCTGTGTTTTATTTTGGTTTAGTCCAAGGTTTAGGCTGAGGCCTGTGTGCTAAGTGCTGTATGAACCTGATTGGAATCCGAAGATTGAAAATAAAGTTTTAACAAGAAATCCAGCGGATTCCTGTTTATTTGGACATACCATTTTGAACAACACATTTTTCCTACAGAACTTTTCCTTTATTATATTAAAAATCACAAGCTACAATGATGGAGTGCGTGGGGGGTGGGGTGTTTGCCACCAACCAAGCTGTTAATGATGGAGCGGGGTTGTGTGCGTGTGTGTGAAGTGGGTGTTGTCTGCGGACAGTGGGGAGGAGGAGGGAGCAGCTCAACTTTACCGCAGGCTCTGAGACATAAAAATAAACTTTTAATCTGCTGAGTTTTTCATTTAAAAAATCTGAGATTTTCGTCTATTCATGCAAATGAGGACATTTAATGTAATTCACAGACAATCAGTACAAGGTGACAATATTAGTATGTTGAAAGTGAATTTATATTAGGATTTTCACTGTTTTATCTTGACATTTCTAGGACAATATTCCATGCGTTCCAGTAGTCCTGGGAAGTGGTAATTTCCCAGTTCCCATTGGTAGATTTAAACTGGAACAGTGGTAATATTCCACTCGTAAAGTGGAAGAAATGAAACTGCTCCCAGTTTCGATTTCAAGATGGCGGCTACTCGCAGCTTTAGAAAGTTAACTCCGTAACTTTTACTATTAATTATCTTTCTTAATTGTTTGTGCATGTTTAATCACTCGCACAAGTAGTGTGTTTTCTGTGCAGTGCTGTACGTGTTAAACTCAATGTTTATTTGCATGACATATGTAGTAGAGCTCACTTTTTGTCATTGTTTACATTCTAGCAGTGTTGTAGCTAGGTTAGCGGCAACAATACAATCGCCTGTCGGCTAACTGGAATGCAGTTTCATAGGGTTTGTTGGGAAATGACGTCACTACCATTTACCAGTTCCCGGAATACGAAATAAACGGAGCTCAGCAATTCTTGAATATGAATAGGGGCGTTCCAGTTTAAAAAAATCCTAATATAAGTTCACTTTCAACACACTAATGTTGTCACCTTGTACTGATTGTCTGTAAATTACATAAAATATCCTCATTTGCATGAATAGACGAAAATCTCAGATTTTTTAAAATGAAAAACTCAGCAGATTTAAAGTTTTTTTTATGTCTCAGAGCCTGAGGTAATGTTGAGCTGCTCCCTCCTCCTCCTCCTTTTAACTAAGAAATTTTTTACACTTAAGTCCACTCTTAGCTGCATTCTTAAGAGTAATTCTAATAAGTTTGATAAATACGGGCCCTGATCTGTAAGTGGAGGTGTGTTCAGGACAGAGCAGGACAGAAGGTGGAGAAAGGAATTTGAGGATTGTGAGAAATATGCACAATGACTTTAGAAAAAAAAAAGTTTTTTCAGCGCAAACAATGTCCTGATACCTGAACATACTCTTACTTAAAAATAGCTTTCACGTTTATTCTTTGTCTTTCTGATTACCAGTTAATTATTTTAATTTTTAGTAAAATTTTTATTTATATATATTTAGAAAAGTAGGTTGAAGAATGTTTAATTTATTTATTGTACTTTGGATATATATACATTCAGTAACCGTTGCATGTTTTTGTCTTGCTGTAGGTTCCAGGAGTCTTCATATCTCGTCTGGTGCGTGGTGGGCTTGCAGAGAGCACAGGACTCCTGGCTGTCAATGATGAAATTCTTGAGGTCAATGGCATTGATGTAGCTGGAAAGTCTTTGGATCAGGTAAGTGCAAGGAATAAATGAATGATTTATGGGTTTTTTCAGCCACTACCTTCTGGTTTAATCATACAGCAGCTGAACCTGCAAGAAAGATTTAACAATAGGTTTTTAATAATTGTGGGATTTTCTACAGTTTGTCAAACTCTAGTTGAGTTTTAATCTGAATGTTCTTCAACAATCACTTTGACTTTCTAACTCTTAAAGGGCCAATATTATGTGTTTCTCAGGCATACATTTAAATACTATACCATAATAAAGTATCTATGTTACCTTTAGCTTTTATGAAAATGCTGTTTTATGTTTAAATAGAAAATAAACTTATATTCTCATCACTTCCTCTTCCAAAAGCCTTGAAATTGGCCTCTGTCTCTTTAAGAACCAACTTCCGCTTCCGTTTTGCCCATTTCAGTGGTGGTGGTGGTGGTGGTGGGGGGGGGTTGCTATGATGCAGTTTACTTGGCATCTGAAAATACATTTCCTCAAATGTATTTTCA